AGACATTCCTGGGACCAGGACCCCTCCCCCTGGCTGGGGTTGCATGTCCCAGCACTTGTGTGGGCATGGGGCAGGGCTGCAGTGTGGCAGTTGCCCCTGCAGCCATGGCTCCTGCCAGCAGGTCCTGTCACGTCTGGCAGCTGGGCATGAATGGTGTGAGATTTCGGAGGGGATGTGGGGTTTGAGGGGTAAGGGGGTGGGAGGGTTTGTGGGTGGGTGTAGGGTTTGTGGGGGTGAGGTTTGTCAGCGGGTGTGGGGCTTGTGCAGAGGTTTCGGGGTGTGGGTGGGTATGTGGGTAAGGGGTTTGTAGAGGTGGTTTGGGGGTTTGTAGGTGGGGGTGTGGGGTTTGTGGGTGGGTTGTGGGGGGTTTGTGGGTGTGGGTGGACTGTGGAGTGGGTGGGACCACTCAGGAGGGGTGGGTCCCCCACCTGATCCCCCACCGAGCTCCCACACCATGCACAGTCATGCTGCAGCAGGAGCATGACTGTTGGGGCACTTATGTCTCATTGTTGGCAGAGACCTCAGTGGTGTGGCACCACCTCAGACCCAGTGGCTGCACATGATGCTGGCCTGGCCACTGGTGTGTACTCTTAGGTAGGACCAGGCTGCTCTTGCTGTCACTCACATGTCCCAGCACCACACACAGAAGCTTTATTCCTAGCATGCCTCTTGCAGCGTCTCAAATTGCTTTGAGACACCACAATAGGCACATGCTTGCTTGTCTGGATGTGGCCACTATGTCTTGGTGATATCCCTTCAGGTCAGGACTGAAGCATGGTAATGTGAGAACACTTGGACTGCTGCTGTTTGTCCCATGTTTGTTTTGTGGATATGCAAGAGCGCCAGTCTCCAGAAAACTTTTTGTGACCCCTTAACTCTCTACATGATTTGTCAGTGATTCTAAACCAGGGTGTCGTGGCATCCTGGGGTTCTTTCAGATGCTTTCAAGGGTGCTGTGGGATGCCACACAATGTTAACACTGTTAGCTTTATGATCGTGATTCACAAGATAAACCCAGAAGGTGCTTTCAGATGAGCCCACACGTGACTTTTACTGCATCTCAAAGCAGTTTGAGACACAGGAAGAGGCACGCTGGGAACAAAAAAACACTCACTGCACTGCATATTTGCAGCACAGGGTCAAAATTTGATACCTGGATATCCAGGTATCAAAAAAGAAACCTCAGAAAAAAGTAGGTCAGGACACGGTCCAGGACTGTGCCCTGAGGCAACCGGAGGCTCAGGTTCTCCAAAGAGATGCTCTGGTAGCCAGCCCTAGGCTCTACCCCGCCCTGGCTGCAGATCCAGGAGGAACTGGACAGGGTTATTTTGCCCCAAGTGCCACAACTTGCCCTACACTGAAGTGCATGTCCAGGCATGTGCACTGAGGCAAAAATCCTCGGCTCAAATTTGTGCTGCTCCTATTTGAGTAGCTGCAAGCACACATGACTGCATGTGTGGACAAGCCCAAATGTTTCAAATAGGAATCTGTAGTTACAGTCTTTCTGAGTTCTTTGCAAGAGATAAATTGCTCAGTTATTCTTCTGTAAGCAAAAAAAAGAGTGAAAACTAAGAGCTGGCATTTTGTGAGGTATGTGTTGTGGCTACCCAGGGGTGCCTCAAGTGCAACCAGGGATGCCTCAATTCTAAAAAAGTTTGAGAACCACTGATTTAAACAAATGTTGTGAAACACATCCCAAATTTTCAGAGGATTCAAATTCTAAGTTTATTGCAAAGTTTTAGGAAAAAGATAATAAGTGTGTGGGTAAGAGGTGAAAACTTTAAGGTCTGATGCCCTAGCCTGTAGTTTAAGGGATGCATTATTTTGATTTTAATGGGTGTATCTACATGTGTGCATTTACTGTGCAGTAACCAAAATTACTTCACAGTACTGGTGCGTGTCTACACGTGAATGCCTGTATCTCACAGTAAATTTGGTGACTTATGCTGACTTCAGCATAAATTTGATACCTGCCCAATTAGTTACTGTTCAGTAATGCATGTGGAGACGCCTTACTGTGCAGTAACACTGTGTGTGGACTGACTTAGGACTGACTTTAGTCCCAAGTCAGTCCACACATGGTTTTAATGCATTTTAACACCCACACACATAGATACCAGCCTATTTCCACTTACTGTACAGTAACTTACTGTGCAGTAAATTTAAGCTGGTGTAAATGCATGTATAGACATGCCCAGTGTATGTAGATTTATCACTTGGCATTAGTTATCACTTGGCATTAGTGTTAATGGGAGTCATATGAGTTAATCCTTCAGAATCTAAAGGAGACTATACAGTGTATTTTATATCTCTAAACAAAATTGACCTGTGAGGCAAGAAAGAGGCCTCTCTCCGGGAAGCTGTTCTTTTGAACTGTGAGTCTCACTGAAGACTGCTGGGCAGTGTGTTGGGATCTGGCCATTACCCCAGCTGTACAGGATTGTGGGCGCTGCTATCAACACTAAAGCCTTCTAGTTCTAAAGGCTGTATCCGGTCTCCTGCTCAGTGGTGTAGGTAGGAGCTAATTCTTTGTATCCTCACTTTGAGATGCTAGGAACTGATGATATGTTACACGGTAATAAAAGGGTCTGTTTAAGGAAGTGGATCCTTTAACTTCACTCTAGGATATAAGCAGTGAATCAGATTCAGACCAGATGTGAAGCAAATATAATTCTATTGAAACTAGAGTACATGAACTTCCACCAGGTGCAAACTTGGGTTTAGTCTAAGCAAAGGCATCACACAGTTATATCATCTGAACTGCAAGGCCAAATAATAAATTATTTTTATTGTACCTTGGACCATCTTTAACAATAAATTAAAGCAAACAGCTGCCAGTAGGGAGAAAGGCAGTGTTGCAGGGCTTAAGGAGAGCTACATTTTTAATGATGTAATGCAACACAGTCTGCAAAAGTGGGCAGAATGGCCCAGCTATGACCAGCCAGGTAAGGATGGAACAATGAAAAGAGGTGCTGCTGGAACAATAGCTGCCTATTCAGAGGCATAGCAGGGTAGCCTTGTGCTCAGTGCAGCTGAAGCCACACAAGGCTGTATTGAATGTGGTGGCATGGTCAGCCCCTACTGCAGTGGTAGCTGTTTTTGTGCCCCCTCACAAAGGTGACACCTGGGGTTGCTGCTTGGTCTCCCCAACCTTAGTTATGATTTTGTATTATTCTCTTTGCTCCAGGCAAAGTTGGCTGAAGATGGCAGCCAAGCTTGGGAAGCTGTAATGGATAGGCAACAGGCTTAATTGTAGAGATAGGTCGTTTTAGGATCAGGAGTGTTTGAAACCCAGGGTTTGATTCAGTCCATTGTGGATTCAATGGCACCTTTGGATACTCAGCACATCTGAAACTCGGTACACTTATTTAGATTATTTAGATATCTAAATATGGAATAAAATACCTAATTTTAGATGCACAAATTTTAACATTTTGGCCAAAATAAATAGCTGTTTCTGTAACTAAATACAGTATTGTACGGTGAAGAATTAGATATAAAATAGTCCAAGCACCAGTTTTAAGAAATTCAAGAAAATAATTGCTTGATTCATCATGATTTGCCAAATTAAGTAATTCTGTAGTAGACATTTTTTAGACCTCAAGATTTTTTTTCCCTAGACCTGCATAAGAAACTGTTTGTGCAATTAGCAATAAATTTGTCACTCCTGTAAGTCATTTTTAAAAAAAAGCTGGGAACAAGTATAACATTTATTACTGTTTGGGAGGGGGTTTTTTACAGTTAAAAATAGCTGTCCTGTTTTCATATAGCTTGTGCATTTTCAATCTTGTCCTCTCGTGTTCTGTAGGTGGATGAAAGTGAAAGGGATTAGATGGAAATTATATGTGTATGCTTGAGAATTTTAGTCTTAATATACAAATATGTTTTTATTTGTAATCCATATTTTGAAGAGACAAGTCTGAACATTTTAGCTTTATTACTCAGTTGGGGTTTTTTTGGTAGCATGTAACAAAGATGGGTTGGATGTGATTATTCCTCAATGTATGGTGTAATGTGGCTCATTGGATGTCTTCAGTCTTGGATTGTATGCATACTAAATCAAATTCTGGACATTCAGCATATAGTTATAGTGCAACAACCGTTTGTATTTCAACAACAACAACAAAAGGAAAATATAAAATTCCCTTGTACCCAAGTGAACTCTGGATGTTTGTTCTATCTCCATGTGAATTTTCTGTCCAGAATTCCTCATTCAGATTAACGTCTGCACATGGTCCGTGCTCTTCCTGGATGGAATAGTAAAGCAGCCAGAGGCCAGTACGTATGCAAGAAAGCTTGTCAGTTAAAATTCAGACGCTTTCTCTGCCTGATGAAGGATATCTGTACCTGAAAGCTTGCAAAGAAGAATTTTTTTCAACTATTTGAGTTGGTTTAATAAAAGGTACCGGATTTACTCAAAGAACCTTGTCTGCCTATGTCCTTAGACCAACATGGTTACAACCTACACCCCTCGTTCAGATTAAACATTGGTTGTCTTCAGTGTGCAGTTTATAATGCTGCATTCCACTGAAGATATGCCTCTCTATGTGAAGATATTATTTAATTACTGGAGATGTTACAAATCAAAACACATTGAAATGCTCTTGAATTCTGAGATGTTTGAATACAGATTCAAATCCATACTTCATAGCTGGAGTCCATCTCCAATAGCTAGGCAAACAGGATGGAAATTAAAGTATAAACTAAAATACTAGTACCAGCTGGTTAGTGTTACAGCAGAGGAAAAGGGCCTTGAAATTAAAGCTTCTTTGATTTTCATTGAGGTTTGATAGACACAGATGTTACTGGTTTGTAGGAAGTGTGATATGTTACAGTATATTTTTAGTTAAAATGGGCTCCAACTGGAAGATTAAATCGGAATCTTTTACGTTCTGAGGAGAGATTTTGGATTCATAACCCTAGCCATAATTTTAGGAGCTTGTTCTTTAGGTCCAATTCAGATATGGTGCAAACTGGCAAAAAGCTTACAAGATAAATGATTCTCATTGTTCTGAACCAACCTCTCATGAAAACGGATTGTGAGCGCATGTTGCTAACTTATCCAAACTTGAATGAACCAGGATCATTCTGTTGTGGTTGCATATTGAATGAAAGAATGAATTAGGTGCACATTTACCTAATGTCTCCTTAAGTAAGGGTATCAAAGTCTCCGGTACTCCAAATAGAAATTGAAGATATTGAATAGATTTATATGTGTGTTTGCCTGCATGTGTGCATGTGCGTATAATTTCCAAGGGTTTGTATGTATCAGAATGACATGTTGATTGTATTTAGCTAAGTACAAAATTGATGAATATACATGAAATTAAAAAAATATATTTTTGAGCAATGTGCAGCAGCACATTTTATAGATAAATTAAGATATTAGACTGTAGAAGCAGAATAATAGTAGCAATGATTGAGTGATGGTCACAGTTATCAGAAGGCACTCCTTTTCTGTAGCTCTGCCTCTGTTTTTTGGCAACTTCAAAACTTCAGGTAATGTGCTCCTATTTTTATAAAAATAAAAGTGAGAATTATTCTTCATTAGAGACTGGCTTCCATTGCATTCAATGGCTAAATTCTCATTTACTGCATTGATGGCGTATTACCCTGTGAGGTACCAGTCCTGAGCTCTACATCTGAAGTGCTTATCTAAAGTGGTTTACAATGTTAAGAGCAGCAGCTGAAGCATATACTTAAATGTTAAATATCATAGCCTTGAAGGTGACTGGTTGTTGCTTATTTAGACTCTAGATGTGTAGAATTGGTATATGAATTAAGTAACAGTCCTCGTTTGCCAGGGTTACTAGTTAGAAGCACTTAATCTGAGCCCGAGTTCTCCCCAGAGCAGGCCTATTGAGCAACCATGCAATGAACAAGCACTCCCAGTTGGGCCATGATAACCACAGGGGTGGCCACCTTCTATGACTGGTTAGTGTGACCAGTAGCTCTGGTGTTTAGGGTAGCAACTTCATGGCTGGTACCTTGCTTTAATGTCTAAGCTTTCATTTGTGTCCTGGCTGCTGTTTTTGACTCCTCACCCTCCCCTGATATGTTGGGCAGTCTTTACACGTGCTCCGGGGGTGGTGCTTTAGAGAGTCACTTTAGAGAGCTACTCTAATTAAAGCACCTGTAGTGCCATTTTGAAGTGCAGGGACCCTGAATACATGAGATGCAGAGGCTGCTAGAGTGCACTAATTAGCATGCCCCAGCAGACTGGATTAATCAAGGCTGCCCTGATGTGCTTACAGCATGTTGGAGCAACATCCCTGCACATCTACAGGCAACCATGGCGCCTGTCTTCAGCTCCTGGCCCTTGGTTTGAATCCTGGTTTCAGTTTGGCCTGCACCATTGGGCTGGGCCACCCATGGATACCTTATGGTATCTAATTATGTACGTCTTCTTTATTAACTGATTTTTCCATTAAATGTAGCATACTATGTATGTATTTATTTCATCTGATTTAATTCTGTAATATATCTTTCTGGTCATGTGCCAGAAAAAACACAATAAGTACAGTACATATTTACAAGAGAGAGTTGAGCTTAGGATCGGCTCCAACCTATGAAAGGCTAAGACACCTTCTTGAACTCTGTAAAAGATGAGTTAAATTTGATTCCTTGTTTGTGAGCCAGGGAGGAGAGTGGAATTGGACAAGGGAAAGAATTATATTAGAATTAACTGTAGGTCATCTAACTGGTGTTACAGAATGAATTATAGAAGATACATATCAATATATCAGAGCCAGAAAAAAACACAAGGCTGCCAAACAATATTCAAGAATTCTAGTGAAAAATTGAAGAGAAAGACTTTGGAGGACTCCACCAGAATAGGGGTGTAAAACTCATCCAGCCCTGTGGGCCAGATGAGGGGCATGAGGCTGCTCTACCATCTGGACTGGGCCCATGGACCAGCCCCACGTGCTGGATCCAGCCTGCAGGGCTGGTTCAGTGTGGGTGCTGCACGCAGCCCTATGCACTTTATGCAACATGGGCCAGCCCCAGGCCTAGGCATGGCATGTGGCACATGGGGCTGATTGGGCATATGCTACAGGTGGCATTTGTACCAGACTGACCTTGTGCACTAGATTTGGCATACAGGACTGGTCTGTGTGCCCTATCTGAACTGGCCCTGGACTCAGTGTGCAGGGCTGGTCCTGCACAGCGGCTGCATGCAGCTCATGCCCCAGAGTGACCCTGTGCTGTGTGCAGTTTGCGCCGGATGAGCTCTGCATGCCCCATGCAGTGCACAGGGCTGGGGCCAGCATGTACTGCATACGGCAGGCAGTTGAAGACCCATAGGCAGCACTGTGGGCTGAATGATAGGGCTCTAAGGGCCAGATCTATCCCATCATCTGTATCTGACACCCTTCCACAGGCACATTGCACCTAACAGCTCATTGATTAACAATGGGTTTTTTTTTTCCAGATATTCTCAAAGACTGCCTTGAGTTCTCAGGAGATGCTGTGAACCCACACTACATTATTTCAGTGGGTGAAGAAATAAAAAGAATTAATTGGTGGTCATGGCCCTTTGAAGAAAGGAGGCAGAGGAGTTAATGAGCAGTTTTTCAAATACCTCCTGTCCTGCCTACTTTCCCAGCATGAGCCTCACATATTTTGCAGCACTGCGAGAAACAATTTTTCTAGAGCTATTTTCACATTTCCTGGACTAGTTTATGTCCTGTAAGTGATGACGTGTGCTAGAAAATGCAGCAACAGAAATAGGATGATGTTTCCTGAGTGAATTCAGAAAAATGCAAACACCCCTTTTTCAAGGGAAGGAAAAAGAATGTATTTACTTTACCCCTGGGCCCAGTCTACATGCAGCTTTAAGTCTCCCAAATGCAGGCCTGAGGGACTGGAAAAGAGAGACCATTTGTTAAGAACGAGGGTCTGAGGCTCTTCTCTGTGTAGAATTTAGAGAACAGGCATCACACAGTGGGACCAAGTATGGTATGATCTGACTTTTGATTTAGGCTTCCTAACCCAGAAATCTTGGATGCTGGTGACCTAACCAGCAGAGAAATTCCACCAGCCCTGATATATATTTATTCTTCCTGAAACAATGAGGCTGTGCATCCATTGTTAGTTCACACCCAGCCATTTCTTGATATTTCTATCAATTCCATTTATGAAGCTTCTCTTAAATCAGGGGTCACCAATATATGGCCGATCAGCTGGATGTGATCCGTGGAGCCACAGCCCACCAGCCTGTGTAGCTGGTGGGCTTTGTCTGTGTCCACAGCTGTAGCATGCTGAGGTCAAGCAGTGAGGAGCTGTGCCAGGCCCTGGCAGCTTCCAGCTGTGCCTGAACCACTTCTACTTCTTCCTGCTCTTCCAAATCTGGTCCAGTGTGGACGGGGTGGTTTCAGCATCGTGTTAGTGGCAAGGGGGCTTGGCCTGTGCCCGCACCCCAGCCCTCTGCTCCCTAGCTGCTGCAGGTGGGTGGTAGTGGGGGAGAGGGGCTGAATTGCCAGTCATATTGCCGGATCATTGTGTACACAGAATCGAACACGGTCGTGAATGGGAATATTTTAATTTGTTTGGGCAGTCTATCTAGCTCTATCTTAAATTTCACCTCTTTCTACAGCTGCAAGTCTCTTCTTCAACAAAGGTTTAATCTAAACACGGACATAAGTTTACCTCCAAATTTCTGAATGTTCTGTCTTTTTTTTGTGACTCCCTTCCTACCGACTTTGCAGCTCACACTGAGAAATATTTGAAATCCCTGCTGGGAGATTTTCAGTAGCAAAACTGTTTTCTTTGGAAGTCCCTCCGTCACTGTTTTGCCTCATTTACAGTTGAAGGTAATAGGGCCAGATCTGTCAATCAAGCTTTAAAAGTGTGGTTAGTGATGAAACTAAAGATAAGCAGAATAGTTGATTTGCTGTGTGGTGCCTTTGTGTGTTAGTACCAGTATAGCTCCTTTTAGTTTTCTTCATTAGCTAGCTTTCCTGTTGTATTAGGCAGCACTTTATATAGTGAGTATCCGTAGAAATACATCTCTTGACCAAGTAAGTTGTGAACCATAGAACTGTTGTGTAATCGATATCCAAACTCCTGTTATCTTTAGTGGCAGGATTAGACCAGAAAGAACTTCTTGGAAGAACAAGGAAGTGAACTGCAGCATCCTGAGAACTGAAGGTCACAGTTTCAGTTTTACACGTCAAAACTGTTCTTTTATCAGGCATTCGTATATAACTAGAACATATCAATCAATACAAGCAAATCTAGTGTTTTGACTATTTTAACAGCAGTAAAATGTCTATAAAGAGAAAGTAACATCATATCACTGAAGTCTTGCCTTTGAACGCATTCTCAAAGATATAATTAAAAACACCAAAGTGCGTATTTCAAAGCTAAAGCCCATAAGCGATGGGTCTGGCACCATGCCTATTTCAGGGAAGCTAATTACACCATAAATTAAACTGATTTTTTTTTACCAAGCATTATGACCTTTAATAAAATTGTTTCTACAACCAGCTGTCAATAAATCATTCAGGGAAACTAGCAAAAACTGTGCTGTGAGCACTTCACTTCTGTGAATTTCATTAGCTCTAGTTTATTTGGTTTTGTGAGCTATGATGTTTTTCAAATCTCAAATTAAAAGCTCCAACCTATAAAAACTAATTCAAGAATGTTAGCATCTCAGTCCCTGAAAATGAGACTCTCTAATTGCAGAAATTAGGCAAGACTGTATACCGATCAGAAGGTCATTAAGAAAAAATAGTGCACAGCAAATGCTTGACTTAGCCACATTAGTTCCAGGAAAGTTCTTTTGGATATACAGCTTAATGAGAGCAAACTGTCTCCAGGTAGACTGATTTGAAAGGAATATGCATGTCTTTCAGCTTTATCTGATACCTTACCACTTCAGTTTTCTAACCCTTCTTATTATTGATTCCATTCCTTTCAGTGCACCAAGTCCTCTGGGTCTCCGAGCATGTGGACACATACAAGGAATCCGGCAGTGTTGGACTGAGGTGAGAATAGTACTCTGCTGCTTACTAAGTAGGTATGAGATATTAATGAATAGATTTAATTCAGGAGCCATTCTTTTTACATAAGGCTTCTGTACAACTTCAGGGTAGTTACAGATATTCATAGGGGAAATAATGATACTTTGATTTGTTACTGTGCAATAGATATTTTTAAATTAGGCATTTTTTGTTAGGCTAGTACTAGAAAATTAAGCTGCTACCATTTCTCCTGTGCTCCCCTGCACTATTATTAAAATTAATTTCAGAGTAAGCTTACTATGTGCTTTACAGACCTGAGGACATGCACATCCCTTTCCCTTGAGTTTCAAGTCTAAGTAGCACAAGACAAGACAGTGAACCTTACCTTCAAGCCCTACTTGGTATTGGGAGTTAGCAGCCTCGTGTCATTTTTGTTTTCTCCTGTCTCATATCATTATAATTTCAAGCCTGTTCATCTCACCTTTACAAATCTGCCCAGCCCTTCTTGTCTCTCACTGCACTGCCTCTCTAAAGGTGCTGGCTGTGTCAATGATGCCAGCCACCTCTCTGCTGACATCTACAAATGTTTGCGTGCCTTTTCCATGCTGCCTGTTATATATGGAACCCAGATCACTGAACTGATCTGGATCCCTATGGCAATTCCTCGTTTTGAGTTTTCATTTCAAGACCCACTTCTGCTATGACTCCATAGATTTCATAGACATTAGGGCTGGAAGGGACCTCGGAAGATCATTGAATCCAGCCCCCCGCCCAAAGGGCAGGAAGTCAGCTGAGGTTATAGGATCCCAGCAAGATAAGCATCCAATCTACTCTTGAAGGTGTTCAATGTAGGTGCTTGAACCACCTCTGATGGCAGGCTGTTCCAGACATTAGGGGCTTGGACAGTAAAAAAATTCTTCTTTATGTCCAGCTTGAAACAGTCTTGCAGTAGTTTATAACCGTTCAACCTCATCATCCCTTGGGGCGCTCTGGTGAACAAACGTTCCCCCAGATACTGGTGGTCACCCTGGATAAACTTATAGGTGGCCATCAGATCACCCCTGAGCCTGCGCTTTTCCAGGCTAAAGAGCCCCATGGCTCTCAGCCTGTCGTCATAAGGTCTGTTTTCCTGATCTGATCATGCGCATGGCTCTTCTCTGGACTCTTTCAAGCTTCTCCACATCCTTTTTGAATTGTGGGGCCCAAAACTGGACGCAGTACTCCAGCTGAGGCCTCACCAAGGCCAAGTACAACGGGAGAATGACGTCCTGGGATCTGCTTGAGAAGCATCTATGGATGCAAGCCAGCGTTTTGCTCGCTTTATAGCCGCAGCATAGCATTGAAGGCTCATGTTCATTTTGTGGTCAATGATGACCCCCAAGTCTCTTTCTTCCATAGTCTGTAGCACTGCCGAGCCTATAAGGATGTTGCAGGTTTTCCCTCCCGTGGTGGAGAACCTTGCATTTTTTGGTGTTAAACACCATCAGGTTCTCATCCACCCATTTGCTGAGCCTGTCCAGGTCAGCCTGGATCACCCTCCTGTCTTCAGGTGTGGATGCTTTGCCCCAGAGTTTGGTGTTATCGGCGAACTTGGCCAGTCCACTTCTGACTCCAATGTCCACATCATTAATGAAGATGTTGAACAATATGGGTCCAAGGACTGAACCTTTGGGGACCCCACTGGTCACAGGGCACCATGACGATTGACTCCCATCAATTACCACCCTCTGAGTCCGACTATGGAGCCAATTTCTCAGCCAGCAGATCGGGGTGGACCCAAGGCCACAGTTGGCCAGTTTCACCAAGAAGTGACCATGGGATACCAGATTAAAGGCTCTTTTGAAGTCAAAATATATGACATCAATCTCTTCTCCCATGTCCAGGTGATAGGTCACCTGCTCATAAAAGGAAATGAGGTTGGTCAAGCGAGACCTACCCACAAAAAACCCATGCTGGCTATCCATCAGGATGTTGGCATTGGCG